CTCCTTGATCTTCAGCTGATGGTAACCAGACCGCAGATCGATCTTGGAGAAGACACTGGCTCCCCTCAACTGATCAAAGAGATCCTTGATTCTCGGCAAGGGATACTTGTTCTTGACCGTGAATTTATTCGACTCTCAATAATCGATGCACATGTGCATCGAACCATCCTTCTTCTTCATGAAAAGCATGGGCGCTCCCCAGGGAGAAACACTCGGTCGGATGAAACCAAGGTTCAACAGTTCCTGGATTTGCATCTTGAGTTCTTGCAACTCCTTCGGTGCCATTTTATAGGGTGCCTTTGAAACGGGTCCGGCTCCAGGTAGCAAGTCGATAGTGAACTCCAGTTGTCATTTTGGCGGTCCACCTGGCAACTGATCAGGGAAGACGTCGAGGTATTCGCACACGATTGACACATCCCCAGGTGATGCTTTCTGCTCCTTCCCTACTCTAACCATGCTCACTAAGTAGCCTTGGCAGCTACCCTTCGATATTCCATTCATCCTTAAGGGAAGATATGACCTTTGGCACGATTCTCGATTTAGCGCCGAAAACACAATTGGCTCTCCATTGGTTGGATGTAGCGTGACCTCTTTCTCCAAACATCGGATATCGGCGCGGTAGTGAGTGAGCCAATCCATGCCGGGGATGACATCGAAATCTCGCATATCTATCATGTATGCATCTGCCTCTAGTGTCTGGCCTCCGATTGAAATCTCGAGTCCCCATACCATCGTGTCGGTAGAGATCGTCTTTCCCGAAGCTAAACACACCTCGAGAGCATCGACCCTACTAACACTCCGGATTCCCAGTGACACCAAACATTGACAAGAAATAAACAAATGCGTTGCTCCGATATCACATAATGAAAATATGGGTACATTTGATAAAGATAACATGCCGGACATTGTACCTGCATTGTTGGTTGTTTCCTCCTGGGTCAAGGCATAGACACGGGTTGGTGCTCGCTGCTGCTGCTGCTGCTGGGGCTGATTCGACCTCCGAGGTTCTGGGCAGGCACGTGAGTAATGACCCTTCCTTTGGCAGTTGTAGCAAGTAACGTCGGCAGCTCGACACATATTGACTTCGTAGATTAGCCCACATGCTCTACACTGCGGTGGTCCTGCAAGAATTTGGCGGATAGGCTGAGCATTTTGTGCCACGGGCTGATGCTGGTGAGGGCGGTGACCATGGTTAGGGCACTTGCTACAAAAATGCAGACTAGCTCTGATACCACACTGTAACGCCCCGTTTTATTTTAAAGAGTTTACTGAATTTATTTATAAAAATTAGAGTTAATTTTTCCCAAAATTTCAAATTAAAAATTTAATTCTCCACGGGCGCTACTTAACTACTAAGAACAATTAAACAAAACACATAGATGAAACTTATACTTGCATAAACAAACAGCCATATAAATTTAAACTAATTACTTATCAAGTTCCAAAACCAACCGGAAAATTTAAACATAATTCCTAAGGTTAAATAACAGTATATCCAAGCCAAAGCAGGAAATAGTCAAAATCAAAAACAATAATTCAACAAGGTCATAATATGCGGAAGCATAAGACAATGATAACATAATCAACAAATGACCACCACTCGATCGTCTTCACGTCGCCGCCGCCAGCCATGCTCAACCTACACAGAGGAAGAGGAGACAAGGAGAAAAGAAATGGGGGTGAGAAAACCATTATACTCACCATTATCGCACAGTATATCCCGTATAAAGATTCAAAACTATAAATAATGTATGCATAATCCAAGTCTAACTCCCTACTTGTCCCTATCGCAAACCTCCTATCTACATACAACAAACCTTCCGACAAGACATCGGCAAGGATGTAACTGGAAACCTTCCCACCCTGGCTACAACGCCTAAGGGATCCTTTACAGGAGACAGTGGAGTTGTTTTTCCCCTTCTAAATAACACACGGACCGGGGCGTCCTCCTCCCGGATATAACGGGCAGGTGACCTCTCACTGTTTATGCATTTCATCAAAGGCACTAACCACGGGACACATAGAATAGGGTTCTCACACATACAAAAGCCATCGAGACAAACATTTATATGAAATAACGAGTGCGATAATTGTAGATACAACGTAAATGTACCCACATGAAAGCAGGGATAAAATCACAATTTAAGACTCGAAAGGTAAGATTTGAGGTCAACACCTCATAACACCTACACGAAATCAAGATAAACTCTCGATTACAACTTATCCAACGATCACACAAACTTAGTCGAATCCGTCGACTAAGTAGCTCGTGGAAAATTCTTGTGGAATTATGGAACATTCGACTTGACTCAAAACCAAAACGGAAAAACACACAAAAAGGCCATTTCATTATAAACACAGCCAATGACCATGAAATTCAAGCCACTTATAAAGCATGCTGAGGGGACCTCATATATTAAAATTCATGCGAAAATTCAAATGTTAACCTATTCAACCAATATTTGAAAAATTTCACAAGTAAATCACATTTTCTAGTTGAACAGGCAAATGAATGAATTTTGTTTTAAAATTTGAACACATAATAGAATTACTGAGTATATCAAAACCACCAAGTTTTAGCCATACCAACTAAACATGCGATTTTATAAAATTAAAACAATATTTCAGCAAAAACAAGTACGAATTTGAAGTCTAACAAAATGAATGATTTAAGCCCTAAAAATTTTATACAAACAACTACAGCATATGAAGACTAACATATTAAATTTCTAGGTAAAGCCACTGAATACACAAATTACAAAAATTATTACAAGTATCAGCATAATTCATGATTTAAAGAAAAACTTAACATAATGAATTCAATAAATCTTGGAACTTTTACATCACATAGAACAACATCAAATGAGCATAAGAACCAAGTTTCAGGCATTTTCATTAAGGAACCAATTTTATACGATTTTTAAAAATTTCAGCATAAATAATCAAATAAGCATTTACTATAGCAAATGGATTCCAAAAATTATAAAGGTTTAACACAAGGATAATAAATACCAGGGGAACAACATAACCAAATTTCAGAATTTTTGGACAATAACTCAAATTTTCACGAATTTAACAATCAACTGCAGCAACAATATAATCAAAAATTCCTAACTCCAAATATATAATTCCAAATGATACAAGGTCAACACCATTAACACCAAGACACTCATATGTTCATAATCTAAAAGATCTCCACGAGTAAACATAATATCATAAGGGTTTCACATTAAACCCTATAGATCTTAAAATATTAAAATATATATAATACAATATCTTAACATCTTAAATCAATAAATAATATGATATCATATAATCAGCAAGGACACATATAAAACACAATATGAATGGAGTTTAGTAATATACCAAACACCAAGGGGAGAAAACGGACAAGGCTAGGTCACGGGAAGACTCGGTTATGTGTTCGAGGGTGGTGGTCGGACGTGCGAGGGTGGCCAGAAGCCGCAGCGGTCTCGTCGGGATCGTGCATCTCGGCATCTGCGCGGGGGTTTTCCCTTGGCCGCGGTTTTGGGCGTCGCAGCGGCTGCTTGCGAGAGTGGCAGGGGAACTCCGACAACAAAGAGAGAAGGAGTGAGGGGGAGGGCTGGAGCAAGAGAGAAAGATGGTGAGGGAGAGATGGACGTGTGGAAGGGAAAGAGAGANAGGGTTTACCTTATAGCATTAAGGTAGGTTGTAACCTCCACATAAAAATATGGTCAAGGCTCAAATTATGGGATAAGCTAGCAAGAATGGTGGGATTTTAAAATTCAAAATCAACTACAAGATGTTTGGATGGCGGGCGGGTCGAGGGAACCGGTTTGGGGCGTTTCTCGGTCAGGCGTGGGCATCGCGTGCAGGTCGAGGCCCGATTTCTTGGGCGCGTGTTCTCGTTTGGTTCGAAATCCCAACTAGTTCGATTATTCGGTTTGCTCGAAAATTTAAAATATAATTCGATCCGGCTCCAATGACAATTTACTTAACTTATAATTCGGCTCGATGCTAAAGTCATTCCATTATACAATTAAATAATTAGGAGCACATAAACGAAAAATAATAATCGAGCACGAATAAAATAAATCCAGAAAATGAAATAAATAATAATAATAATCTTAAAATAATCTGGAACGAATGGGGCGCTACAACCGCGGACCGGCAGAAGTCCTACGTCGAGCAACATAGGGAGGATCTGCAACTTGAGGCAGGTGATACGGTCTTCCTGAACGTTTCACCGTGAGAGGTGTGTTTCGATTCGAGAAGAGAAGGGGAGCTGTGGCCGCGTGATATTGGTCTCTTTGAGATTCTAGACAGTGTCGGCGACCCAACCTATTTGTTGGCTCTACTACCAGAGCTTGTGGGTGTGCACGAGTTGAGGAGATACGTGCACGACCCTAGGCACGTGGTGAACTTCGACAAGCTTCTTTTCGGGCATGACCTTACCTATGAGGAGGTACTGGTGGCCATTTGGACCAAAGGGTCCACCAGTTGAGGAACCGGAAGGTTACGCTCATCAAAGTCCAGTGGAGCCGCCATGGCGAGAGCGATGCAACTTGGGAGAACAAGACTGAAATTCGGACGAAGTATCTGAATTTTATGTTTTGAGTTGTCCTCTGTACCCTGTTTTTGGTATATTGAAATTTCGGAGGAATGAAATCTTTTAAGGAGGTTAGATTGTAGTGCCCGTTTGTTTATTAGAGATTTCTAGTTTATTTGATTAATGGAGTGTATTGCATTACCTGTTGTATGTAAGTGTACCAAAAAATTAGGCAAGCATTTTTGTCAAAAAGTCTAATATAAGTGGTGAACAAGGTAATATTTTCATCTTTATATACAACACAAATCCCACAAATTTGAATGTATTCTATGTCAATAACAAAAATATATTGTTCTTAAACACTACATATAAAATAAATAAAAGAAGTGTGTAGTAGCATCTATAACCCGCAGATGGCTATCAAACCATATCGAGTAGGGAAGCGAAAATCTTGAAAGTCCAATATTTATCACAAAAATGGAAAGACACCAAAAAATGGCATATTTAGCAAGAAAGCTGTGGCAACACTTGATATTAACTTGTACGGCTCGAGACCGACTGAGCTGCTGTCAATTTGTCCAGCGTTCACAAATTCGGTTCTGCCATTGCTTGTAGTAGATACGTTCACGGATAATGAACCTATAACAGATGAATATTTCATATACATGTGACCGAGCAGTATACAAAGACATGAAATTGTACAAATATTTTTGGGTTGTGCTAAAGAAACTTACAGTCGTAGTTAGCCCAACCAATCCTTTGACTGGCCAAATCGTAAACGACGATTTTATCTTTCAAGACGAGGTCTGCATAGAAGGATGGAAACAGATTACCGAAAAAGGTGATATCTCTATATTTGATCAGTCAATACGAAAACACAGAATATATTTGTCAACACCTACATACCAACTTCTAAAAAACTTAAATGAGTACGTCACTAATTTAAATGATTCACATACGAATTTTCTTAGGGTATCCGAATTGAGGTATCGTGTCATAACATATTGATGCTACTTATTGAAAAGATGATTCCTAGATATAAGGTAATAATTTCTTAAAATAAAATCATATACCATAATATATTTATACCTCCTAAAATCGTTATTCCTTGACCCTGAAGTTTCTGAATGCCAATGCACCACACAGTAGCACCACCCTACACAAGACAGTACATGATACATTAATTATAAGTAGTTATGCACACCTAACCTAACAGTTGCACTATTCCAATATAATTTGCTGCTCAATAGAAGTTAGTTAAAATGTTTTTGTTAACCAATAAACTTTACCAAAGTAGACAATACAAAACCCTAACTCCATAGGTTCAAAAGAAATTACAATTTCTGAAAAGGGAATTATAATTCAAGAAACTTACAACAGAGTTTTGCTGCAAAAGGTAATCCTGGGGTCTCAGTACCATGGATGCCCCACCCGCAAAGTTCAAACTAACCGTAGGGAAAATCTCGGAGACACTAAATACAACATAGAACAAACAGAAAACTAAGAGAAAAATAAACAAATCTAGACATGTAATCAGGATAAGTGCCTCTCGACTAGAAACCTGGATGTGGTTAAATAGCACTGGTTTCCTCTGTTGAGAGTTGGGCTTATGGACTGAGAAACAGTTTGCTCAACCTGCCAGCCAGGAAAGAGATTCTAAAACTTGGATTTAGGATAAATATAATGTCAGTAAATAATGGCAAATGTAACCAGGTAATATAAAAAAACAAAGATATGAAAAACTTATGAGTTACTCATCAAACTTACTGCATTTATGAAAGGATCATAAGCCTCTTCAGCAAAGTATGCTAATGTTGTTCCTGAATCAATTATTGTTCCTGTGTTGCTCGATGTCTCGAATACTGATGAGGCAATGGGTAATATCTGCCCGTTTATGGAAATGCTCTGCAGATCTACGTTGTAATGTGGCCTGAAAGTTTGTAAGCAGTAGTTTTTGAGTTATACATAGAAAATGCACAACATAAGCAAACAAAAGGGTCCCAAGATGTCATTTCTTGGGGTACTCATGATCAAGAGTCAAAATATTCTCCGTGAAAATTGAGAAACGATTTTTAGGCTTTTTTCCAGTATCAAGGGTCCTGCTAAGGGAGAAGAAAATAACTTGGTAAAGGAAATTAAACCAAATCAGAAGGGCCCTATGTCATGAAAAGGATTAGAGAATTAAACAAAGTCCATTGGGTCTATGTCATGAAATAGTATTAGAGCAAATCCTGAGATCTTAGAAGTTAAACATTCTTAGAAGAAAAATCCACAACGTATTCTTATTATTTGTTTTTTATATGTATAACATTGAAGGATCACTTGTTGATTATCTTCAGTCCTCTTCTTTCAGCATTCTACAAGAGAAATAAGTTTTCTTTCCCTTTCTGCTATCATAAGAATTTCTTTACTTCACATGCTACTATGTGGTCCTGCGCAAAGTTAAATGGCTACGTAGTTTGAAGAAGTTCATAAAATTACAGAAATTAGGTTTTGGGAAAAAGAAGAAAAAGAAAACCCGTTAATGTCTGGCCAAAAAAAATAAAAAATCAATTCGAGCATGTGAGCGTGTCTATGCATCTTTCATAAAAGCGAATAAATAAATACAGCGACGGTTCTTTATACTCCAGCACTATCGACTCGCAAACACGTTTTCTAGCTATCTCATATTTTGGGGAATACATTTTTTAAAGGAATCTGCAGTATTTACTCTTACAGTTCATCAAATATCACAATACTATATGCTTCATGCCTGACATTTAAAAGATCAATGAACAAAACAGAATTTTGAACAAACATGTTTTCTACAATTTCAGATTCTGGGCAATACATTTTTTAAATGAATCTGCTGTATGTAACTCTTATAGTTCATCAAAATAATATATAATACTTAATACCCAAAATTTAAACAATTCAGTAACAAAACAGACTTGAACTTATTATCCAAGAGGAAAGAAAAAGCAAGTGCATGAAAATCATGGACAATCTCAAAAGTGACGAGCAAGAAATTATACATACTGTGAGGGAACAAGGGGAGTGTAGACTATATTTGGCTCCACAATTAGACCAAGCACCAGTATACCACCCCTGCCGCCATTTCCCCCTCTCAGGCAATGAGAGAATGCATTCGGGACAATCCCTTGTGAAGCCAGCTGAGAAATTACAGACATGCCCTGCTGACCAAACCCGAATATACCATCAACTGCCCTATCCGACTTGGTGAGATCTCCAGTCTGCGACGTGCTACATCTGTACCCAAAAAAGCAACCCAGCCCATTTACAAACTAAGAAAACTATTCAACAGAATCTTTCCTGCAAGTTATAATTTTCCCGAAAGCATCTACTTTCGTAAGAAGAAGCTAAACAATATTTGGTGAATAAGTTGTAGAATCTAAATCAGGAGCAATACTTTTGAAAACATTTATCGGCGGATTTTAATCAGAACCCCACCCAAAAACAATGGATGCCGAGGAATTCGTAGTCAACGAGTTCCCAACCACCGAGTCAAGATACATTTGGTCTGATAGATAAACCCCCGATGTGCCACTGCCATCACCGTATTGGAATCTGTACCCACAGCGATTCTGATCTGTACAAAGGGAGTCGGAAGTTTGTTCTCCCGAAGCACATCGTTGGTCTGAACACGAGATTACGGATGCGGTCGACGACCCGGATGGATCGAAAAACTCGAGCTCTATCTGATAAAACAATCCCGAATAAATTCAAT